TTCTTGAGTAATAACCTTATTTTAAACCTCTTTCCTAAATGTTTTTTTGTATATTGAATTATTTAAACATCACAATAAATCAACACAGAAGTATAAGAAGATGAGCCTGACTGCTACTTATGTTAATAGTAGTAATCTTTTGTTAGACAAATTATTGATGGTAGTTTTTTCCCTTCAAAAATTCTTAAAGAGCCAGGTGCCAGTGGTTCATGCCTGTAATCCTAGCTACTCAGGAGGCTGAGATCTGAGAATCACAGTTCAAAGCCAGCTTATGCAGGAAAATCCATGAGACTCTTATTAAGGTTAGCCCTGGGAAGGTGAGGTAGATTCCTCCCTCCTCTTGGCTAAATCTCTGACCAGAACCTGTGTCACCTTGGTAACTGGCACACCTAGAGGCAGTCACCTCCGCTTCCTTCAAGGTCACATCCTGGGGGAGGGTCCCAGGCCCTAAGGTCACATCCACATCCAATGTGGCCACACCTTCCCTCACCTGTCTGCACCTTCTCCCCACCCCTTCCCTACTTAAACCCAGGCCAGACCTCAGCCCCTCCTCCCTTCAGCCTGTGATCTCCATCTGGCAAGGTGGGGCAGCAGTTTGGTAAAACAATAAACTTCTCTTCTTACCTGAATACCTCAACTACCTAATTAAAGCACCTATTTAATTTACCTTACAATTCTCATTGTTGTAAGGTGAATTATCAGAGAAGCCACATTTTGGTAGATGGAATTTTGGAGTCGTTATTACACAGTTAGCAGGCTGCCTGCAGCCAATTGTTATAAAGGCCTGCCGCCTGCCCTCAAGTACACTTAACAAGGTTAGGAAGCAGGCCAGAGAGGAAAGAAAACAAAAACAATGGGAAGGTGGCTCAGTGGTAGAGCGCTTGCCTTGCATGCATGAGGCCCTGGGTTGGATTCCTCAGCACCACATAAGCAAAAAGAAAAAAACCGGAAGTGGCACTGTGGCTCAAGTGGTAGAGTGCTAGCCTTGAGCTGAAGAGCTGAGGGACAGCACCCAGGCCCAGAGTTCAGGCCCCATGACCGGACCCCCCAAAAAAACAAAAACAATACCAACAAACTAATTCAGCTCAATGAATTGGGACGCCATGATTACCAGAGACAAAACCGGACACAGGACAGGATCACAGAGTCACAGGTGGTGTGGCATGGGGCACCTATGCTAAATAAGGTCGGGGCAGGAGGCAGGGTCACAGGACACTTCCAGTCCCAGGCACTGGACTGACAGGTTCAATAACCTGTCAGCCAAGTGTCTGCCCCTGCTTCCAGGGATCCAGGTATGCCCATCACCTAAAGTGGGGGCGTTTTTGGGGTATCACCCTCCCCACCATGAAAACATGATAACATCTGCACTTCTGGAAAGCAGAGCCCGCCTAACTCAAGCTCTGCATTCAGTGAATAGCCTCTCACCCCTAGGCCTTTCAGCTGGGTGGACAGCCAGCCCCCCTTTTCCTGCGGAGGCGCCAGGACGGCTGTGCTAGGCATCTGCATTTCAAAAGGAGTATTAGGGAGGCTCGGCCTCCCTACGACTTCATTATCTCCAATTAAGTGCCAGAGTAAGCCAGGAGTGGAGCTGTGGCTCAAGTGGTAAGAGCACTAGCCTATGGGCAGTGACAAGGCTGAGTTCAAGCTCCACAGCTGGCACACATGTACACAAAAACCTTAGCTTTATAATGGAAAGCATCCAACTACACTATATAGAGAGTGTACGGGTCTTGCTAGGTAGCCTAAGCTGGCCTTAAACTAATAATGATCCTTCTGTCAGTCTCCTGAGTGCTGGAATTAGATACATGCCATCATGCATGACTCCACTAAATTATATTTAAGAGTTTTATAGACTTAACAGATATTGAATTAGTGAAATTTTCATGTACTTAATATTGTACTGTAGTAGTAAAATATTAAGAATATGTAGCAAATTAATTTAACTGATTTTTTTTTTTTTTGCTATGTCTTATTGTCTTCCAACTCAAAACACAGCTCTTCCAAGCTGAGGGACAATGGAGTCAAACATCTCAGTGGAATCCCCGGCATTTATTTATTCAACTACAAGGAAACAGCTGCTGCTAATCCAATTGTGGTTCTTTTAGAAAGTTCAGCAAAAGGTGAAAGATCAAAAAAGCTCCTCCTCACCAAGTTGCGAATCTGTGCATTGTAAAGCCTTGGTAACTGAGAAAATATTTTCTTCTGAAGGGCTTAGACTGTCCCAAATTCATGTCTGTCCTTGAGAGCATGCCATTAGTGCTGTACAGAAGAGGAGGACATCACAGAGAGGTCATTCCACCTGGGGCCTCATCCCCACCTCACACCTGCTCTCCCAAGAGCCTCTCAGCCTCTGGTCGCGCCGCTCCCTGTCTGCTTTCTGTAGCCCAAGCCCCACTGGACACTTCCCAAGTCTTCATTTTAAAGAGATGAAACTTCATTATCCTAACTCCAAACTTACCCTCTCTTAACCCCCACCCCGCATCTCTCTGAGACTGGATCACACTATGTATGCCTGTCCGGTCTGAATTTGCAACCCTTTTATCTGAGCCTCCCCATTGCTGGGATTGCAGTTCTTTGCCACCATTCCAGGTGGGTTTTGTTGTTGTTGTTGTTTTGTCGGTCGCGGGGCCTGCTCAGGGCCTGGGTGCTATTCCTGAGCTCTTTCGCTACCACCTTGTCACAGCTCCACTTCCTGGCTTTGAATCGCAATTCTCAGGTCTCAGCCTCCTGAGTAGGTAGGATTACAGGCATAGAGCCACCAGCCGCTCAAGTGCTTCCTTTTCTCTTTCAGCTTCTTGGAGTGACCTGCTTTCCTCTGTTAGCATCTTGGAGTAACCTGCTGCAGACTGTTTTTGGTAACAAGACATAAAACTATTATTCTTTAAAACTAGATAGTGTTATAAGAACTCCATGTCTATCTTTTCCCTTCCTCTTCTTCCCTCTTTTTATCTGTTCTCAAGCTAGCAAGTTGCTCTCTCAAGAAATCTTGTGTTTTTGGCTGTTTTAACCACGGAGGTTAGGAAACGACCCTTTCAGGCTTGGGATGTGGATTCTTCTATTTCTAACTGGCCCCAGGCGGCTGGCCACGCCTCCTCCCGAAGGCCCCGCCTCCGGTTCCGAGCGTCCTGTCTCCATGGTTACGCGTCCTGCACGCACGGCGCGTAGCAGCGGCTCAGGGAGCCCTGGCGGGCTTGGCCGGCAGCCGGGACTCAGGACTCCTGCTTTGACTCTGGTCAAGGTCGGCTCACTCGGCTCGGTGCACTTGAGCTGCAGGCGTACCCCGCGAGCACACAGAGCGTCAGGCAGCAGCAGAGCCGGGGCTGCGGAGGGGCCCGTCGACCCCGAGCGGAAACGGCGGTGACTTCCTTCGGAGGCACCCAAGTCCTTAGGTGAGACCTTATCGACCCCGCTGGCGCCACTCGCTCTCCCGGCAACCGAAGGAGCGTCCTTAGCAACCGCGGTGTCTGCCACTAGGGCGCATGTGCCGCGGAAATACCGTTCCGACATCCCTCCCCAAAGGAGAAAAAAACAAAAACACGGCCACACGCATGCGCACTTACAATTTTTTAGAGTACTTGTAACTGGAATGTTACTTTTGAAAACTACTTAACTATTAGTCAAGAAAATGCAGTAAGAGTATCCTTGCTTTTCAGATGAGGAATCTACCTACTACAGGGGCGATCCAAGTGTGCACACTGCTGGACAGCGGTTGGGTCACATCAGAATCTTGGCCATCTGGCTTGTAACTGGGCAAAACGCCCAATGGCGCTTTACCTATTTCACGGGACTCCAGTAACGCTGATTTAACTTTACATTCCGTAACCTTTATTACATATGCCAAACGATCCGTGTGACACTCGGGAAAATCAGGAAGCTTGATTAGAACCACTCTTGCCTGGTTTATCATCAATGTAACTAATTAGGAGTTCCTTTTCTGCTATGGTGTACAATTCCCTTAATACGTTTTGAATGCCCTTGTGGTTTCCCGAAATAAAATCCAGACCTCAACTTGGATGTGCAGAAAAGAGAAATCAGATGATCTGACCTAGAGTTTTTTGGTGTTTGTTTTTTTTTGTTGTTGTTGTTGTTTTAAACCCAAGAACTCCCTTATGAAGGATCCCACACATCCATCCCAGGGGACCACGCAGAGGCAGGCAGGCAGGAACAGGAGAAAGCTTATTATAAGGTTTATTAGAGGAGCCATAGTTTCCCAAAGAGGGAGTACATGGAACCACCTAGGTCAGGAAGTGAGGTAGATGGGAGCTCAGGTGGGTCTGGGTGGAGAGAGGGAGTGGCCAGCTGCAGGGCGGGAACTCCAGGGCGGGGAGGAGCTCTGCTCTGGGTGGAGCTGAGGACCGAAGGTGGGCATAATGCTTACACTTTACAGTTATAAAAGTTCACTCAGAGAATGTTCTGGAATAAGCTGTTCCTTGTCCACCTGTACTCTCCTACACAGATAGGAGCTGGCTTCTTACTAATTCTTTCCTCCCTTCCAAATACTTCTCAGCCTTAAAACAAAACAAAACAAAAAACCCTCCAATATATAAGTTCACCTTTGATGGGTATCATCATTTAAGTAAAGAAGAAATTGGTCAATCTTTTGATAGCTCAGTTCCTTTTTGCCATCAACAAAGTCCATTAGGAGAGGGGGGAAAACAGGAGAGACCTGGATATTAAGAATTATGATAATGGGGCTGGGAAGGTGGCTCAGTGGTAGAGCGCTTGCCTTGCATGCATGAGGCCTTGGGTTCGATTCCTCAGCACCACATTAGCAAAAAGAAAAAAAAGCCGGAAGTGGCACTGTGGCTCAAGTGGTAGAGTGCTAGCCTTGAGCTGAAGAGCTGAGGGACAGCGCCCAGGCCCAGACTTCAGGCCCCATGACCGGAAAAAAAGAATTATGATAACATTATGACTACAAATATGAGTGGAGAAATATGAAGAGGAGAAAATGATATATAAATGAGTGTATTACAAACCATTCATTGCTTTATGTAGCCAGAATGCCTCCCACGCAAGCTGAAAGTGTTATAAAGAACATCATACGGGAAATAGAGAAGGAATGTGCAGCCCATGGAGAAATTGTTTCTGAAACTCTGGTTGCTTTCATGGTAAGAATGACTTTTTAAAACATTATTGCTTTATTTAAAAAGTTTAAATGTGATGCCCATTTTCCCTTAAAGTTGGGCATAGTTTTCCTAGATGTTTTTTGATTGAAAACATATTAAAGTAATCAAATTAGTGAAAGTACCTTTTAAAAGTCTGATGCTGTGAGGGGTGTATGGTCACCATTGGGTAAAAACTTGCAATCTTCACCCGATATTGCCACACCCAGAGTGTGCAGTTTCTGATAATCAACTGTCAGGACCTTGGTTTCTAAGCTACATAAGATCCTGTCCTCTGGGCCCCCCAACACAGTGCCTGTAATTTAGCTTGTGGGTGAAGCACTGAAGTTCCTCCCATGTACTGAGGCTAAAACACAGCTCCGTCACCTTTTATTTATGAACCAAAGGCTACTGAGACTATTTCAGTATCTTTTAAAACACTTTTATTGTTATTATAAAGGAGATATACAGAAGAGATACAATTACATAAGTCAGGTAAAGAGTATATTTCTTTCTGAACAATGTCACCCCTTCTCTCTCGCTCTCTCCAAGTTTTTCCCTTCCATCCCACCCACAAGTTAAATAGTTCAACACAGCGTCCAGTGTGGTCCACTGCTGCATTTGTTCACCCTTTGTCCCTCCATTTGTGTGTCAGTTTGAACTTTAAGAAATGTTGTTTCCATTACTGAAGCAACAAAATAATAACAATAAAAAAGTTTCAATATTTTCTTTTTAGTAAGACTTAAGGTTTTGTCTTCATGAAGAATCTCTAAAGGAGAAAGATGGGAAAGAAAAAAATTCCAGTTCTTCCTGTTTCTTTTTTTAATATATATTTTTATTGTAAAGATACTGTACAGAGGGGTTACAGTTGCATGAGTAAGGTAATTTCCTATCAAGCATTGTTACCTCCTCCTTTGTTTTACCCTTACCATCCATTCCTCCCAAACTCTTCCCTCCCCCCCCAAGTTGTAAAGTTCGTTTCAACATAGTGTCTTGTACATCTCATTGTTACAATGGATCAACCTATATCCTTATTTCAGCATTTTGTTATTTCCCTACCCCTCCCCAAATTAGAAAAATGTATATACAAGATGCCTGCCTGTTTCTAAGCAGACAAAAATAAACTGGATGAAAAGGAAGTTAGGTCTTTAGAACTGAGAAGACAGATTGCTTCTCTGTATGTAATTGTCTCAAAGTTACCATGTATAGTGTTATGAGCAGTGAAATTTTATGGATATATTAGTAAGCTTATTCTTTTATATTCCATGTCAAACTGAAAACTTTATTTCTTCACTATTTTCCCTGTAGAAATACAAGCCATTTTACAGGGGGGAAAAAGTCTTTAAAAACTATTAAACTGTTCTTGCAATGTGTGTGGATTCTTCTCTTCAGACTTGTGTTTGTCATTAGGTCATTAGGACATTCCATAGGAATTTGACAGACTTTGAACTTCACATTTCTCACACTTCCAAGTTATTGCCATGCAGGTGAATTTCTTACTCATTGTTTTACACTTGGCAAAATGCATACTTAAATCTAAGTCCTGGAAAATCCCTAGGTTGTTTTTTTTTGACAGTCCTGAGGCTTGAAATTAGGTCTGGGCATTGTCCCTGAGTTGATTTTGCTCAAGGCTAGCATTCTACCACTTGAGCCACAGAGCCACTTCTGGCCTTTTCTGTTTATGTAGTACTGAAGAATCAAACCCAGGGCTTTTCATGCTAGGCAAGCACTCTACCACTAAGCCACATTCCCAGCCCCAAACCCTAATTGTTGCTTTTTTTTAAGAAACTCTTTGTTGTTGTTGTTGTTGTTGGCCTTGGAGCTTGAACTCTGGGCTTGGGCACTGTCCCTCAGCTCTTCAGCTCAAGGCCAGTGCTCTACCTGTTGAGCCACAGCGCCACTTCTTGCTGCTTTTTTAAAATTGAAGACATTGATGCTTATATTTCTATTTCTTGTGACATTTTATCATTGTCAAATCTTAACTTCCCAGAGAATATTTTTTTAAAGCCTAATACTGGGCGTTGGGGATCATGCTTATAATTCTAATAACTCAGGAAGTAGCAACTGGAGAATCAAGGTTTGAAGCCAGCCAGGACAGAAAAGTCTCCAGATTCTTATCTACAAAAATGCTGGACTGGAGGCATGACTCAGGTGATAGAGTACTTACCCATTAGTGAAAAAGCCATTTGAGAGCTGGAAGGCCCGTAGTTAAGCCTTGGTGGCAGACCACACCCCTCTTTGCTTTCCGCCATGTCTACAAAGCATGTCAGTTCTAAGTTTATAATAAATGATATAGAAGATCTTTAAAAAACTTTTTTTCTTATAAAGGTGATGTACAGAGGGGTTACAGTTACATAAGTTAGGTAAAGAGTACATTTCTTTTTGGACAATATCACCCTTTCCCTCACACTTTCCTATTTTTCCCTCCCATCTGATTTAGAAGATCTTGGTAGGTTTTAAGAATAACAAGTTCTTCTGTGAAAAAATTGTGTCACATGTATGTTCATTGTTAAAACATGTAAGTTCTTTGTTCTTGCATTGATTAACAACAGACAATGGCAGTATAAAATATGCCATAGTTTCCTCAATTTAAAATCAAATCATTACTTTCAATCTGTTTTCCCATCTAACTTTTTTTATCCCATATTCAAGTTTTGATGTTTATTGCTTCTTTTCTTCAACTACAAATGAAAGATTTGAAGAGTTGAGTCATAAGAAAGATGGTTAAAAAGATGAAGCTTGAGGTAATCATGAGTTAATTGTTGTAAAAAGTAGAAATGTAAAAGAATATGTTAATGTACTGAGCTAATCTCTCGGTAATGTGGACTACCTTCTTCCTATCAGGTGAAAGCTGTTGTCCTGGACCCCAGCAATGGCTTTAGCACAGATAGAACCCTCATAAAAAGTGATGTGCAGAAACTTGTGAAGGTCAGTATCCAATAATGCTCATTTGAAATTACTTTTTTTTTTCCACTTTTGAACACAGTATTTGTGGTAGGTGCATAAGAAAGGCCCTGAAAATGGTACAAGTAAATGAGGGATTTGTCTACTAAAACAAAACCTAGAAATGTTGAACCTAATGTTCTGGCTTTCCTGGGCTGCCATGTGATTTTCATCCATGGTCACAAAGTAGTTCAACCTAGAGGTGGAAAGATGCGGAAGGCAGAGAGCAGAATGTGTGCACCAATGGGTCATGTCTCTCGCTCTCTCTCTCTCTCTGTATGTGTGTGTACTAGGGTTTGAACTAAGGGCCTAGGTATTGTCTTCTTAGGTTTTTCACTCAAGGCTGGCAGTCTACTAGTTGAGCCACATCTCCACTTTTGGCTTTTTCCTGATTATTTGGAGATAAACATCTCATCACTTTCTATCCAGAAAAATAATTGTTTTCTCGAAATCCCTCTATCTGCTTGTATTTATTGACCATAATATTGTAGGTGACCCCAGGACATTGTTTTCCCCTCTCCAGTAAATCTTGGCCCTCCTCCAAACTGGGGCTCTGTGTTAGTAAGGAGGAGCTTGTATGTTCCCACAGTATTTTAGGAATAATCTTGTTATTATTCTTTTACATTGAGAAAATTATAAATTTCTGGCAGATACTTGTACTATAAAGTTAAATAGGTCTACTTTAAAATTTAAATAATTCAATGCAATTTATGCTTTCCATTGCTAAAGAAAAATTAAAATAAAAGCAAAATAATCTTATAAAGCAAGTGTATGTTTCTGAAAACAAATTTTAAGAAATAAGGTAGTTAAGCACCAGTAACTAATCCTAGTTACTTGGAAGCCTGAGGATCGTGGTTTGCAGCCAGCCTCCATTGAAAAGTCCATGAAACTAGTCAGCAAAAATAGCCAGGAAAAAGCAGGGTTGGAGGCCTGGCTAAAATGGAGACTGCCAACCAACCAACAAGCCAGAGTTCAAACCCTAGACTAGAGTTTTCTGGAACATTTTTCCATATAAACACTACTCAGACTTAACAAGTAGATCAGGCTTCTTCAGCTAGATATTAACCACCAGGGTGTGATGATAGAAATGAAATCAAGGGAGAGTACTCACTACTCAATATGTGTTGTTGTTGGAGTTGGAGTAATTTATAAAATCTGAACTTGTCAAGGAGATTAAGAACAATGAAAGGGGCTGTTGGTGAATAAGCTTTTATGTAGCCCTGTGTTTCTGAAAATAACTAAGTACTTGAGTGTAACAGAACTATTTATGGGCTGTTCTCTTGTAGCTCTGTGTGACTCGGCTATTGGATAGTAAGAATCCATCCCTGGATACTATTAAGATGCAAGTCTACTTCGATATGAATTACACAAGTCGAGGTAATGCATTTAAATATGCTCAGAGTTTAAAAAGTATGTACAAAAAGTATCAATATACTGATCATATTATATATCAATCAATATATTGGTTAGATTGTATTTCAGATAAGAAAGATTTCATTTGGTTGATAATGAGTTTAACTTTAATAAAATAACTAGAAAAAAAAGAAACAGACAATATTGCAATTTGAATTTGCCAAGCAAGTACTCTACTGCTTGAAGCACATACTCCACACTTTTTTGACTTAGTTTCCATGCAGGTTCTTGTACTTTTGATGAGGCAGACCTTGGACTGCAATCCCTCTCCCTCTGCCTGTTGTATAGCTGGAATTACGGTTGTGAGCTGCCATGCTTGGCTTGTTTTGTTAGCGTCCCTCCCTCTCCTAGGCTAGGCTAGAACCATCCTCCTATCTCTGTCTTCCAAGTGGCTTATGTGTGCCACTATGTCTACCCTAATTTTGGGAGGCAGTACAGGACTTTGTGCTTGCTAGGTATGACTTGAGTCATACCTCTGGTCCTTGTATTGCTTTAGTTTATTTATTTATTATTTATTGTCCTGGGGCTTGAGCTCTGGGTCTGGGTGCTGTCCCTCAACTCAAGATGAGTGCTCTACCTCTTCAGTCACAGTGCAACTCCAGTTTTCTGGTGGTTTATTGCATATAAGAATCCCACAGACTTACTTGCCCGGGCTGGCTTTGAACTGTGATCCTCAGATCTCAGCCTCCTGAGTAGCTTGGATTACACGTGTGAGCCACTGGCACCTGGCTTTTTCTTTCAGTCCTTTGACATGTTTTCCAAATTTGATGTGTTACCTGATTTTCTGTTATTATAATTTCCCATTATTGTAAATACTTGAGATCATCAAGTTATACAACGAAAAAGCTCATTTGGGGTCACAATATTAGAGGTTTCAGACCATAATCAGCTGGCTCTACTGCCTTGGTCTGTGGTAGCACATCATGGCAGGAACAGGTGGCAGAGCTAAACCACTCACCTCACGGCTGGGAAACAAAAGAGCGGAAGAAGCTGGGGTCCCCACAATCCCTCCCGACCAGACACCTCGTCCTTATGTTTTCCCATCTCCCAGTCACACCAGGAGCCAGCGACCTGGCTTTTAACACACAGGCAGGCCTTTGACAGACACCTCCCCGAACCATGGTATTGGAAGAATACAATATTGTTAGGAATTTGAAATGAGAAAAAGATCAATGACCTTTGTGAAAGTTAAAAGTCAACTTAAGTTTTTATTTTTTTTATTTTTATTTTTTGGTCTGGTCATGGGGCCTGAACTCTGGGCCTGGGCACTGTCCCTCAGCTCTTCAGCTCAAGGCTAGCACTCTACCACATGAGCCACAGCACCACTTCTGGTTTTCTGGTGGTTTATTGGAGATAAGAGTCTCACGGACTTTCCCTGCCTGGGCTGGCTTTGAACCACAGTCCTCAGATCTCAGCCTCCTAAGTAGCTAGAATGACAGGCATGAGCCACCAGCGCCCAACCTGGTTTATTTTCTTTATAGTACTTATGTAACATATATCTGCCTCAAAATGGAATTGATTATTGAAAATTTAAGTCCATCCCAGTGGACAACCTGGAGGCAAGCAGGCACAGGAGAAAGATTATTACAAGGTTTATTAGAGGAGAAATATTTCCCCCAAGAGGGA